GCGTTAGCCCTTACGTGCCCTCCCAGAGCGCCTTCGTTCCGGTAACACCGTACGCCAAGAATCTCTCCACGCCTTAACATATTCCTTGATTCACTTGACAGAACACTCTACCTTGTAGGGCGTGGAAACCTTGCTCTGTTGCCACCGTCCAAACCTATTCCCAGCTAGCTTCCTCCATGTGAGGTCTTTTTAAATTAATATGGGTTTAGATTGAGAAAGTCAATACTTAATTAAACAAGAGAAAGGTATCACTATTCAAGTTGATATTACACTACAAATATATATAGTAAATCTTGGATAGGAGAAGTATTTATTTCCTAATTGCTCATTTTGGATGGATTGGAATAAATAAATAATTCTACTCTTTAAAATAATTAAATATGTTGTAAACTATGGCCATGTTGGATTTTTTTTTTCTCGTGGGAATGTTTATTAAGCATTACTGTATGCTATTATCATGCAGTATTCTTGCATCATTAATTATTTTGTGCACTAAACTCTTTGTGTCCAAGCTTAAGTTTATTGTTGGAAGCATGCATGTATTTTGTTTCTTGCAGTGTTTGCATTGCGATGAGTCAAGTTTTGTTAATTGTTTTTACTCTGATTACAGTTGGTTAAGTGTTGTAGTTTATGTGTTTTGTGATTTTGTTAATTAGATGTGCAATCCCTTAACATTTTGGTAATTAGTACATCAAGAAGAACTGAACTAATCTAGCTCTAATTAACCTGCTTTCTCTTAGTTTTATTTTATTATTTATAGTTGACCCTTTGTCAAAGCATAACAAATTAGTAACATCTTCAATATACTTAAACTATATTAATGTGAAGAAATATACATATGTATCTAATAAATGGGTTAGCAGTCTTACCGAATGGGTTATGCACATAGATATTATGAAATAACTTTTTTTCTTGCTACTTGTTTGTATATGAACAAATCAGTTTTTCCAAATGAAATAGGCTAGCAAGCAATAATAATTTTTAATTTAAATTTGATTTATTACAGGTCTTTAAAATATTTTCTTAATATGACAGCGCTTTAAATAATAATTCTTCAACTACTTCAACCTTCAATTTTCATTTTAACATCAAGTGGTATAAAAGAAAAAATAATTTGACACAAGGTCATTGCAAAAAGACTCTTAAACTTAGTGTAGGATGCTAAAAAAACAAATTAGCATGCTACACGTGCCAAAGCTTTTGCAAGTGTAGATATTAATCGATTCAAACAATATTTAATTGGAACTAAAAAGAAATGAAAGAATGCTGTAAATGTCCTTCGGATGTTATTATTAAATGCTTTTAAATCTTTAGGGGAATGTAGAAAAGAAAAGAAAAAGCTAGAAAATAAAAATAGATTATAATCCATATAGCATAAAATAAAGGAAGCATGAAGAAAGATGATTTTACAATTATAAAAAGATGACGATGACGATGATGATGATTATGTAGAAGCTAGTGGTAAGGAGCAATTTTACCATCGAAGAATGCCAAAAAAAGAGAGAAAAATCATTAGTGTTGTTAAAAAATCAACTACAAGTTATGGAAAACATAAAGAAAATACAATATTAAGAGTATATTTTATGCCAAGAACAACTAATGGTGCTAAAAAGTCTCTTCAAAGTTATTGAAAAGAAAAAAAAGAAGTTATAAAATGGTTTGATCTTGCTATAACAAAATATATGATTAATGCATGTGTGTCATCCAATAATATTTAACTCTGTTTATTATCATTATGCTATAGATGTTGTAACAACTATGGGTCCTTGTTATAAATGACTAATTTTCCATAATCTTCTTGGTTATTACTTGATAAAGACGGTTGATGAAGTGAAGATTTATGTTGAGAATTATCAATAAATTTTAAAGAAAATTGGTTATACATTGATGATTGATGGATGAACAAATAAAAAAAGAACTTTAATTAATTTTTTAATATATTATCCTAAAAGAACTATTTTTTTTTAAACAATGGATATATCAGAAGCCTCAAAGACTATTGTGTTATTGCATAAGTTGTTCAGAGATGTTGTTTTATTTGTTGGGCTTGAAAATATCATGCATATGATAACTGATAATGCTTTTAATTATGTTGTTGCTGGCAAGTTATTGGTGGAAGAATTTTCTTCAATATTTTGGTCTCCTTATGTTACTTATTACATCAAACTCATGCTCCAAGATGTTGGTAAGTTACAATTGGTTTGTTCTATTGTTGATCATGCTTCCAGTATTATATAATATATTTATAATCACTGATATCCATTGCATTTGATGAGAAAGTTCAATGGAGAGAAAAAAAAAACTTTCGTCAGCTTCTACTTGCTTTACTACTAATTTCATTGCTTTGCAAAGTATTTTAATACACAGACAATTTAAGAGCTACAATGACATCTAAAAAATGGGTCTCATTTGCTAATTCTAAAGATAACAAAGGAAAAAGATTTGTTGCTAGTGTGTTAAACTCTATGTTTTGGAAAGAATATGCATCAATTATAAAAATGATCAAATCATTAATTCGAGTTTTATAAAATATTGATAGCTATAATAAACCTTCTATGAGATATTTATATAAGGTTGTCTATTCTACAAAAATAGAAATGTTGAGGAGAATTTAAAAGAGAAGGGTCAAGGTGTAGCATTTTCTAGACATCATTAACAATAAATGGGATTGACATTTGTATATGAAACTTTATACAGTGAGATTTTGATTGAATCCTTGGTTTCAATATGATTAAATCTAATGGATAGATATACAAACATCATTTTTGGACTTGTAGATGTTGTTAAAAAGTATGCAAATAGAAATGCGACTCTGCTAAGCAAGTTTACAAATGAAATGAAGTTATTTAGAAATGCAGAATATGATTTTGATAGAGTATCCGCGAGAAATAATCATAACCTTTTACTTTCAAGTATATTATTATTTTCATACTCAAAGTAATTTAAAAATATTGTCTTGACATATTCTTACTTATTAATTTTGTATATAGATAAATGGTGAGTGATGTATAAAACTTGTGCTCCAAATCTTCAAAAGTTGGCCATACAAGTTTTAAGTTAAACTCGTAGTTTTTCAAGATGCGAGGGAAATTGGAGTAGTTTTTAGCACACCCACTCTAAAAAGAGAAATCAATTGGAGCATCATAGACTTAATGACATAATTTACGTCCATTGTAATTTGAGATTAAAATAAAAGTATTTTTTTAATGTTTTAAAAGTTAATTTATATTATTAAGTAGCATCATCAATAATTGTATCGTGTACCTTTACTTTGATTTTATAGGAATTATTGGAAAGGATGTAATTATGATCTAATTAATTTTAAGTTATTTTCCTGATAATGAAAATTCATAGTAAAAGATAATCCATCATCTTTGATAAGCGAAAAAATAAAAAAATTTCGCTATTATTTATTAACCATGACTATTCAAGATACTTCAAATGAAAGTAACAGAAGATTTGATCCTTTAGTTATTAGTTTGTTTGAAAATAAATTATTGTTCAATATGTAATGTTTATTGGTTAATTATTTTCAATTGTAGATTTTATAAATATAAATAAGATTGAAAATGATTGTGATAATGAAGATGCATTAGAGCATAGTGATATTTTGATAGGCATTAATGAGGTTGGCTTAATTTCATTGATATTTGATTCAAATTTTACGCTCATGAACATGAAAAACTCAATATTTATATTCAACAAAAATAAAGATGTTGACATTTTAGAAAAAGTATAGTCATTCTAATAAGGTCTTGTACTTTACTTCTTTCTTTAAATTTTTTTTTACCGGTGTTAAGTGTTCAACATATTCTAAATTTTTTTTTAATTCCAATGGAGTTTGGATGTTGTTACCTTATATCTTTTATATTAAATTTTTTTATTTTATTATTCTTGTCTTTAATATTTTTTTATTTTTAAGACAATTATGTTAAAAATTTGTTTATTTGAAGACAAACACATGTTATAATATGATATTTTCTTCTATACTGGCTAAATTTTATATCAAAAGAACTCTATTAATATATACTTTGATTTTTAAACCGGATTATTTTAAGTTATCTCACCTATGGCGTAATCTAATTATTTTACCAGTGGGGTCACTGATCAGGTTCTATAACCATGCCTGGAAGAGGGGAATCACTTTCCTTGTAAAACCATACACAGTGCTAGCCCAGAAGGACCTGGCCTACCACCAACCTACTAGAAGGGCATATAGTATATTCATTAAATGCATATTCAATAGTGATCTATCACCATAAAAAGCACCTCTTAACCAGTCTCTGGAACCAGTAAAGGTAAAGGAATGAGCCGAATTACCTTTCTTCCTTTGTAAAGTCCTGTGACTATATAAAGAACAAGAAGGTGAAAGGGTAATGGATAATCTTTTTCACCTTCTTCTCTTCCATATCTTTCCTTTTCTCAAACTTGGGTTTTCCTCCTTTTATACATCCCCTGATCCCTCGTACTCTATCTTATTCAAGGAGATTTGTTTTGCAGGTATATCTACGTACCACCTTCTCCATTTCCAATCAACTTCATTCAATTCTGTTGTGCAAAGGGTCCCCGTATTTTTGGAGTTTCATAAGTTGATCAATAATGATTTAACATTATGTCATATATGGCCGGCGTGATTTTTGGGTCACTTTCCATCTAAGAAGTTTTCAGTGTACAGTGCGAATGTGAAGTAGGTGTGGGTTAACTCCACATGAAGTCTCTGCTTAATTAGCGTCTAATGTAATGCCATTAGTCCATAGGCCATTCCATCAGCACATAGAGCAAAAGGGCAACAATCCTACTCTCTCAAAAATGGTTATTATATATCTCCACCTTCAGTTTTCAAGATTATTGCCCTTGTATTCGAGAAATGATTCGTTGCTTGATGAACAGTTACTAGTTCCAGAATTTAGCAGTACTGCTTGTCTCGATCCTGCGCGCAGAAAGATGCGTGCACTAAAACAAGTAAAGCAAACGAAAACTAACTAATAAAACTAAACTTAAGCATGAAAGGCGAGAGAAAAAAAGGGAGGGAAGCGGAAATTCTGTGGTTCCAGGCTTGCAAACCAATCCTCCAGAAAGAATCGCTTAGAAAAAGTAATGGGTTTGCTTCAAAGCCAACCGAATCTCACTAGTTTCCTCGCCTCCTCATACTCGCGTTCTTTCTTTTATATTCTCTGTGTGTATGTCTATCCATCTGTATTTCTTCTTTTAATAAGTCTATTATAACTTTCATGTTTGGAAAACGCAAGACTGGCAAGCAAGGAAATTCACGTAACTGTCCAAGGGTTACAGCTCTATTTAGAAAAAAAAAACCCCTCTCCTTCTCCCTCTCCCTCTCCCTTGACAACATTCATTACTACCTTTTTAGTACAAGATTAACTCGAACTCTCCTACCTTGTTAGCTTTCCTTCTCATCTCTCTCTCTCTCTCTCTCTCTGTTCTTCTGGGATCATTAAATTAATGATGATGGGTTCTCAAGATCAAAAAATGGGGTCTAAGGAACTCAAACAAATCATCAAAGGCAAGCGTACCAAGCGACCAAGGCCATCTTTTCCGCTAACGTTAGCCATGACATCTTCTAGCTCATCTAGCGCTGGAGAGAGTGGAGGTGAACGTGATCAAAGAATCTGCAACAACTCTTCATCGTCTCCTGGTCCTAGCACCTCATTTGAATTCACGGAAAGGACTGGGGAGGAAGAAGACATGGCCAATTGTTTGATTCTTTTGGCTCAAGGCAACCAAAACTGCAAATTAGCCAAGCCTGTGGCTATTGCTGCAGCAGCAACTACTACGTATATCAACAGGGATGCTGGGTTATATGTTTACCAGTGCAAGACCTGTGACAGGCGTTTCCCTTCATTTCAAGCGCTTGGTGGACATAGAGCGAGTCACAAGAAACCAAAACCTGGTAACCTTGATCATGAAGACAAGAAAGTGTTGACGACGGTACAAATGGCTCATGAAGAGCAAAATGGAAATCGAAATAACATCAATACGAGCACAACCCTTTCATTGCAACTAGTAAATGATAGGGTTCTATGTAGTCCTAAAGTGAAATCTAATAAGGTCCATGAGTGCTCCGTATGCGGTGCTGAGTTTTCATCTGGCCAGGCTTTAGGTGGTCATATGAGACGGCATAGGGCGTTTGCAGCTGCAACCACAACCACAACCACAACCACAGCAACGAAAACAACCATGAGTTTGGGAAGAGTTAGTAGTCCTGATCACGAGTCCCAAGAATCCAAGAAACCAAGAAATAGCCTACAACTAGATCTTAATCTTCCGGCACCTGAAGATGATCTCCTAGAATCCAAGTTCCACTTTGCATCCAAGGAACAAGTTCTTGTCCTCACAGCTTCTCCCTTGGTTGATTGCCATTACTAATCCAATTAAAATGGAAATTGTTCTCATTTGGGATTATTTCACTCCAAATTCAATTTGGGCTTATTAACTTCATTTTCACTAATGCAATTCATATTTGTTAATTATGATTCTTTGAACTGTTTTTTTTATTATTATTATTATGATCACAATTGTCGAAGTTGGATTATTTGAGTAATATTTAAATGGCTGCAGGCTTGTTCATGGTGGCATTATTCACTTCAGAAAAAAGTTACATAAATATTTTCTTTTTCTTTGTTTTGATTGAGAGGAAAATGTGGGAAATTTGTGGAAGCAAAGCTTCATTGGCATGAGTTCGCAGCCACCGATATCACAACCGAAAGTGGTGGATTAGGTTCTTCTCTTGTTTCGTTTGCAAGAAAGCTAAAGCTCCCATAGTCCCATATCTGCCTGTCTGTTTCATTAATATGACAGAATATTAAACGGATGGCAAGCAAGCCACCGCTAACGTCTGCCCTTCTTTTATGGATCTACTCGTAATCGATCATTTAGTGAAGTAGGTTATACGATAAGTCACCCTTAAGCCATCCGTTATAGTTCTAATTGTATGTTTTATGTTAGGCAGTGAAGAGTCTGCTCTCTGTTTATCACACACAACAATGGCGTTAATTTACACTCGCACTATCTCGCACTATCTCACTTGATTAGAGGCAGTGAATCTTGAATACGATAATATTACAGCATGCAATATTTCTTCTTTTTTTCTGTTTTTTTAATTAAAAAGTGCGTCCGGCCGGTCAGCTTATATATATTTCAATTAATTTTATAAACTGTAAGATTAATAACTATATAAATGTTCAATGATGTTGAGAGGGTTCATATTTATAATAAATGAGAAATAAATTCTAATCAGCTAACTATTTCTTATTTTGCCAGGTTTTAACACTGCTTTTTGGCTGGTTCACCACGCTTTCAGTCCATTGCCTAAACATAAACCAAACTTTCTAACAACTGCGAACACCTTTATATTAAGAACCCCTTGTGAGATCCATGTGTCTAAAGAGAACACCAACGTGAAAATAATCGGTGTGTGGTCTCGGCATCGCTAACTTTAGATTGTTGATGGTACCCCAAAAGAGACTTAGATTTGTGCGGATTCCTGAATTTCCAAAGTGTAAAGCAGTCCAGCTTTTAGTAATTTGCGACATGTACACGACATTATATATTTTCTAAGTGCCAACCCACATTTATGTGTAGAATGTCCTTAACCGAATCAACATGGGTTGTCATAAAGTAGTATATAACGCCACCATTCATGGTAAGATCAAAGAAGACAAGGGAACTTGTACCCAAGTGATCTCTCCCTTCTTTTGTCGTGTGCTATCACTTTCTAATACCAAGTGGGCATGTACATAGAAAGATGATTAAGAGTATGACACCCACGATGTAAAGACGAGGTTATCTACACTTTTTTTTGTTCGTTACTTCCACATTTCGTGGGTGTTGAGAAGCACGAATGCATGTGACCACTTTGCGTGAGGCGTCCATATACCTGAGAGAGCTGAGGGAAGATGATAAATAGCTGCTTATTGCCATTTCACAGTTGCAAATGTGTGATGATAATGTGTTAGCTAGTATAATCCTAAACACTTTTACATGAAACTGTTTATTTTTTATATTTTAAAAATATTAACTTTTTTATTTCATTTATATTATATCATATTTTAATCATTATTACATTATGAAACAACACACCAGTAAAGTCTCCATTAATATAATTGAGATTAAGTATTTAATTAGTAGCGCAATTTGAACCTTAAAACTCAGGTTTAATGGATTTTTTTCTTGTAACATAAATTGATCTTTTAGTAGTTCCTTGTGTGCTTTTTTTCTCTCTCATTAACTCACTTTAGGGCTTTAATGTTGTAAATAATATAAATTAGTTTAAAAAGTTTTTATCTAATATTTATATAATGAATTTTAATATGGATTTGATAACATCGTACAAACATAAAAATTAAATTTTAGGTTTGATAATCAGCCTAATCTAAGATAAACATACATGAGTTTAAAAATAGCGTTAGGCTCAAAATATTTTTGTTGGAATTAATTTTCTAATAGCAATAAAATTCTAATAACTCTTTTATTTTTTAATTGTTATAATATTATTTTTTAACTAGTTATTACATGTTAACCATTTATATATACCATGTATTTCTACCATCAAAATATGCTGAAAAAATTATATTATTATTATTAATTTTTTTTTTTTTGTGTTTGCAAGATTTGTTGGTATTTCTTTTTATTCTTGGTCGCTAATTCTATAACCCTCTCATCTTTGGAAAAGAAACTTGATGGATCTTAATAATAATTTTATATTGAGAAAATATCTTAAAAATAATATATACACACGCCTCAAATTATAGTTTGTTTCTATTCATTTATTCAATGTAAGCACATAAATCCTTTAACAAATCAAGATTCATTAATGAGGGATAAAAGACTTGATATGTTTTTTTGAGCCTCGAAAGATGTTAAGGTAGCTTGCTTCCAAGCCATTGCACTAGATGCGCAACGACTCCCGATTGTTAACACCCTTTATCATCCATGTCCAGCATGCGCTAAGATCTACGAAAAAAGGACCACCTCCAAAGACGAACCCAATCTCTTACAAAGTAGTGTGGACTGTGGAGAACGGCGCCATGCTTGGAGGCATAGGGTTCATGCCCACTAAAAGATAATTGAGTTATGGTCTTCTTTTATACACCTTCAGGCCCATCAGTTGTCTTCAGTCAAGGCCCACTTCTGTTGCTCTCTGGGCCACTTCTTATATATATAATTTCTTTTTTCTTTTTTCTTTTTCGTGCCGTGAACCATTTTTTACTTTTATTTTACTTGCTGAAGCCCTACTTTTTATTTAGCTGTCTGCTCCTACCTCCCTGTGCATCCTACCTGCAGAAACACAGAGGGACGGAGAATTATTTAAAAAAGGAGGAGAAATGGCAGTACATCTCGACAATCTAATGGAAGAAGAGGAGAACGAAGAAGACAATGCTCTGTTTGAAGGAGACGGCTTGGTTGACCAAGATTCCGATATTCCTCCTCACCTCCTTGACCTCGCCCGCGCCGCTCAGCTCGGTGACCTCGCCGCTCTTCGCACTGCTCTAGGTTGGTACCTTCTCTCTTTCTCTTGCCCTGTTTTTTTGGCCTTTTGGGTTTTTTTCCACTTGTACAGTTGCACTGATTTGCTTGAATTTCTAGTTGTTGGATATTTGGGTTTAATTCTTGCTCAATTAGGATTGGTGTCATAAAAGAAAATGTGTGGGTTGGTTGGATTTTTGAGTATTTGGATTGGTCTGTGTTCATTTTGGTGAGTTTGGAAGGTTTGTTTTAGTAAGCTGACCAGTAATCTCGATTGAGTTGCTAAGAATGAAACACAAAAGGATCTCCTTTGGGTGGTCAGTTCTTTTAAAAACTAGTCTACGCGTTTAGGCTAGCTACACTTCTCACTTCTAAAGCCCGGTTCTGCATCTGAGTAGATAGATTTGGTCATTTGGGTCCATTGTTTCGACAAGTAAATACTGGAAACAATTTGATGAAAGAGTTTAATAATGGGTTCATTGCTTGCCTATAAAGTTAATAATGCTTGAACTTGACCCCAAAAATGAAGCTGCTTAATTGAATTTTGGAATGCGAGATTCCTAAAGAAAGTAATGGAAGATTGGCAATTGCAAGGTTTGTAAGAAATCTCTAGAGTTAGGGGCGATGTGTGCAGAATTCATTCCACCAATGAAGCTAGAAATCAGAAGTTTGAAAGCACAAAAAATTTATTTTACGTTTTCAACTGCCATTTCATTCCTTTCATCATTGCGTGGCACTAAAATGCCAACTTAGTCAAATAGGTGGAAGATGGTGACACGGCTCTCCATTTCATTTCTGCTCATGCTTTAGTTTCTGGTTCAGATAACCTGAATGGCAGCATTGATGAACCCGTGGAAGATGGTGACACGGCTCTCCATTTGACATGCCTGTATGGATATTTACCCTGTGTCAAGGTTAGTGGTCTTGATTTATTCTCTTTTACTTCTTTTTGGTGGTGCTTTATAGTGTTAAACTGTATTACAAATTATTTCACTTTCCTCTGTAGCTACTCTTGGAAAGGGGAGCAAACTTGGAGGCCAAGGATGAAGACGGGGCAATTCCTTTGCACGATGCTTGCGCAGGGGGTAAGAACAATAATTTATCACAATCAACTTGTTCTGAATTCTTTCCCTGCAAAATTATCGAAACTAGTGTTGAACTTTTCTTTTTTGCCCCATCCCCGCCCTTGTTCTCTGCTGCAGGTTTTACTGAGATAGTCCAACTTCTACTGAACAGTGCTGGTAGTGCAGAGCATGTGAAAAGGATGCTAGAGGCAGTTGATGATGAGGGTGATACTGTGAGTTCTGATAATAAATTGAATGGTTTTTGAGTTCTGGTAGGAGGCCACATTCTTAGAGCTGACTGGAAATTGGTTAGGAGGAGAAAATAGGGCGAAAAAGAAATGATGTGATTCCTGTTTCCTGTTTCTTTTTAATCTTTGTTGGGATTGTTGTGTTGGGCCAGTCAGCTGATGTCATTGCTGTGGCTTTTCCCAGTCCTTTAGCTGGTGGGAGCTAACGAGGGTTCTTAGAGTGACAGTTTATTGGACCTGTAGCTGTGTTTTAAACTCCCTCCTCGCCCCCCTGTCAACCTTTGTATATATAACACTATTCTATTTTTCGTTTCACTAATCACTGATATTAAAACCCTCTTGCAGCCTCTTCACCATGCAGCAAGAGGTGAACATGCTGATGTTATTAGATTGTTGCTGGCTTCTGGTGCCTCCGCAACAACAGCAAACTCATATGGAAAGGTTAGCAACCATTGGTTTCATTATCGAGATTATGATTCTCATCTCCTTCATTTACTAATTAATTGTTATGGCAGATTCCAAGCGAACTACCTGAACCAGATACTGAAGCTCACAGAATTTTGGAATCCGCTGGAAGTGCATCTTCGTGACCATCTTCAGCTTCCTTACACAAACACCAACTTATACCTAATGGTAGTTAGAAAATTTAAGATTTTATTATTATTATTA